CGGAGGGTGGCTACTCGGAGAAGGGCTTTCTCAGCGGTGGCGCCTAAGTTATGGAATGCGCTCCCCAGAGAGGTCCGCCTGGCGCCGTCGTTATTTGTTTTTCGGCGCCAGGCGAAGACCTTTTTATTTATGCAGCATTTTAAATGTTAATATTATTGAATTTTATTCGGCCAGGGCAGCTTATTTTATTTTACTGTATATATTTTAATTGTCATTGTTTTAATGTATTTTGTATTCGATGTTGTAAGCCGCCCCGAGGCCTTGGCAAGGGGTGGCATAGAAATGTTTTAATTAATAAATAAATAAATAAATAAAAATTCTCTGTTGCTGTCGAGCAGGCCAGTGACCAGACGGTGTTTCCCTTGTTCCTTGCAGATACCCATGCTGAAATCACCTTGCCCCAAAACTTGAAGAAGGCAAATTACAACATCCCGATTTCGGTGACAGATTCAGGGAACCCTCCTCTAACTAACAATACAGAACTAATAATCCATGTATGCTCCTGCACGAAAAACAAAGTCGACTGCAGCGCATCGCCAACCCTTCACATCAGCATGGTCCTAATCTTTGTTTCGCTCCTCAGTTTATACAGTAAGTAATTTTCTTTTTCTGGTTTGGAAAATGGATAACAGCATTAGGAATTTTCTGAGCTGGATTATCTTGCCCTAATGTGGTGAGCGGAGCCGGCTGGTGCCGGAGGTCAGACTAGATGGCCCAGGAGACCCCTTCTGACTCACTCTGTTTCTATGTTTCTAAAGAAAGCGAGCGGAAGGGTGGTTTGAATTCTTCATAGTGCGATCTATTCTTGGCTGGTTGGAGGAGCAGGTTAAGGACCCTTATGGGACCCTCAGCCATAATGCAGAATTCCAATGCTACTTAGATTTGATTTGTTTTGATTTGATTTGATCTAATCCAATTTGATTTGATTTGACTTGATTTGATTGCATTTGATTCAACTCGATTGGATTCAATTCGACTTGATCCAATTCATCTTGAGCTCATGCTTTTCTTTTTTTGGAAAGTTTACATCAAATACTCATAATACCCTGCATTTTCCCCCTAATAAGGCACGGACAACTTGTTGAACTGAAGTTAAACTGTAATTCTGTTATCCTACCATATCCTAATGCATCATTCTCCTCAGGAGCTTTTCCTCATATAATATACTTTTAACATCCCCTGCTCATCCAATACATGCAGTTTTGTATAAATTTCCTTTGACTGGATTAGAAAACTCAGTTGCAAACATGCGAGACATAAATTCCAAATAATGAATTTCAATTTATGCAATAGTTGTAGTTTGCAAATGAAAGGGCAAACTGAATGAATTTCTCCCTCTAATAGGTGACAACTGTCCCTTGAGAATTCAGCTCAACCCCAGGAATCAGGACAATTAAGTCTGCAGTCATAATGTTTTGGAGGTGGTACAGTCCCTTTCAGAGTGGACATAAAGCAGAGTTTGTGGGTAGCACAAGACTTGCAAATCACTGTGTACCTGGGATTTCCCTAGGGATGCCAAAGGGTCAGGAACCCAGTGCTTAAAAGTGAACGGCAGCATCACTTCTGGTTTTTACACCAACATTGTTCCAATGAAAACCAAGGTGATACCTCGAACTATCTTAGTTCAGTGGGTACATTGCTCAGCTTGAAAAAAAATAATAGTTAAATAGGATTGTGTCTTTTGCACACAGTTATAATTACATAAACCTCTGTCGAAAGTGACCGAGAATGGAGCCAACGAGCTAGCTTAGCAATTTAGCATTGGATTTTTCTGTCACATCTGGAGTTTTCATTTCCACACACAATGAGGTTTGTTTTATAATGGCTATTAAGTTCAGCATAATATCTTTCACAGTCCAAATATTTATCTGAATAATCAAAAATTATGATGCCATTAAAAAAGAAAACCCAAGAGACCCTGAATGGGTACTGAACAGATGAAATATGTTCAGTATTCCACAAACATTGGCTGTGGTTTGTGGCAATGTTTTGCAACAATAACAGCACCAAAAAAAGTCCCGACTCGTCTTCCATTGCTCGTGATGTTTCTGCTTTATGAAGCACTTCTTCCTGGGGGGAAATCCCCCCGCCAAGTGAGGGTTTTGCTTCCCATGCCAATTTTTGTGCCTGTGTGCATGCATTTCACAATCTGGAGCAGAGGACAGATGATGAAACTATTCGGTACGGTGACGGCCCTTCCATGAATCTCTTGCCAGAACAAAACATCTTGGCATTATCATTTAAATGAGGCAATTATTATCTAAGCTTGGAATATGGGCCTGTTCAGGAAGTCACTGGAATGATATGTGGCAGAATTTTATTTTATTTTTGAGCAAGTTTAACTGTTCTGACAAACTGGAGTATGGCAAATGACTGCAGGAGAACATATGCTGGCACGGCACACAGCAAGCGAGTGGAGTCTAACTACTTCAGTGACAGGAAGAGGGAAAAAGGAGAAGAAAAAATGTGGACTGGCATTTGTGGGTAGATAAGTTCCACAGGTTTCATGGAGAGTTGAACTGCACTGCTGAGCATACTTCATGTGCCCCATCCAATCCGCAGGGGAGGCTGGTGATTCCTGCGTGAGGTGGGGCTCCTCGTCCACTCCAGCTTTTCCTTTCGGCTTTATAGGAGCTATGCATGCCGCTCTGTGAGGGTGAACTTGATTTGGGAATTGAGTTCAGCGCCATGGATAACCTCAATAAAGCTCGGAGGAGGAGGAGGAGGAGGTCCATCAATATATACAAATCACCTGATGGCCCTGCCCATTTGAGGTGGAAGGAAGACCTTGGTTTCTTGTCCTCTCCCAAATGACCACCAGAGGCATTAAGAGCAGAGCAGAGAGGGATGGCTGCTTCCCATTCTCGATGACTTCTTCATCCTTCTGTTATTGTTCCTCCTGGGGTCACTCATCCATCCTGTCCTTCACCTGAGCAGATGGAGCAGTCATCCTGACCACATGGCTTTCTAGATCAAATTGAGTGCTAGATTTTGATTTTCCTCTGAAAATGTATCCTGATGCATACACTTTTAGCAGACTTTTTAAAATACGAAGCTACAAACTGTGATGAGTCTCAGGATATGAAGGTGAAGCCAGAATCTGGCTCTCTCCTGCTGGACAGATTTCTTTCCCATGCTTGACTCAGACCAGGACGTGTGCTGAGCTGAGATCAAGTCCATGAGTGCTTGGGAATACTAGAGCTTCTTTGCTCAACATGCAGAAGCATGTAATTCTTTGCACAAAGTATGCACATTGTGTATTTCTGCGTGCAAAGTATGTACAGCCTGCAAGCCACATGTGCAGAAACACAACTGCACTTAGGCTCCCTTCCACTAGAAGCCCATGAAAACATTCAGACGTAGGGCAGAAAGAAGGTGGGCCAGAATCTGGTGAGCTGAGCTCAGGACATCTGATAGATTCCTAGTCCCAAGCCAGATTCTCACAGATCCCTAGATAAGTCACTTACTGCCAAAACTGTAATACACCAAATGTGGATATAAAGATCCATAGAGATTCCTCTTTCTATGGTGGAACATTGCTTACATAAAGAGTTGGCAACAGCATGTGAGAGAGAGAGAGAGAGAGAGAGAGAGAGACGAGGTGACCTTTGTGCCAAAGTGAAAATCAGCCAACACAGCCTCCGTTTGGATGACAACGAGATAAATTGGGTAAGATTTGAAAAATTGATAAACTTGAGAGGACAAAATTGCGATTTTCAGTGGCCTCCCTGCCACTGAAGAAACAGCCAAAATTTGTCAAGTAAATTCTCTGTGTGAATTATTGGCTAATTTTAGCTATAGATTGTTTTAAAGCAATTCAGAAAATGGCCCTGTGGTCATATGTCTGACATTAATACCCTTCTCAGAAAAGAAACACAGACTATTACAAACCAGTAATTTAGCTTTGTCAAATCCAAGGAATATTAAACACCACCTTTGCTTCGGAATATATATCCCAGACAGCAGCAAGGTTTAATCTTTTTGAGAGCTTCTTCTACCTCTGAGGAACACCTGATGCGTGCGCAACCAGATCACGTATTAGTAACATTTTGGGATGATCAAGTGTTCACAGCTTATGGAAGCACTTATCTTTCACACTTACTTATCATTCGTATTTCTATCTCGTGTGAGTGTATGCATGTGAGTATAATATATATATCGCTCGTATAGTTATCTGTTTTTGAGGTGCAATCAACCAAATGTAGCTCTGAAGTTTCATCCATCTGTTCCAATGGAGTGTGCGACACGGGCTGAATGTTTAATATGGATGCTGGGAGAAAACTGTTGTGCAACAGACTCACCAGTTTCACTCTTTCTCACACAACAATTTTGATTTTAGTTGTGTGAGTTCCAATTTAGCTGTAGATGAAGAATTATGAAACTTGGGTTCAGATTTTCACTCAGCTGTGAAATCCAGTGGGTGTTCTTGGATGATTGACTCTCTCTCTTTCTCTCTCACTATGGCTGGTTCAACATGGCTGGTTTTGGAAACCAACTCCCTACATTTAAATTGCAGGATCATAGTTTTGGAAGGGTCCTTAGAGATCATCTAGTCCAACCCCATGTTCAATACACTTTGACTAAGATTATCTGGAGAGATGTCCATTCAACCTCTGCTCAATTTTTTCCAGTACTGGAGAGTCCACCATCTCCTGAGACAGTTTATTCTGCCATCAAGCAGCCTTCACCATTAGAAAACTATTCTAATAGCCAAAATCTGTTTCCCAGGAATTTCCACCTATCAGCCCTGATCCTGCTCTGTCTTCTGATGACGACTGTTTGGAAACAAACAGTCAGGAAGCTGCTCCCAAAGTGAAAGTCCCCCCATCTGGGTCAATGGCAATGAAAGTTGGTGCCTGAAGTAAAAACTAAAGATGCTTCCCACAATGACACATGTTACTTGAGCTAGGACATGATCCACCAAGGGGTTTTCCTGGAAAAATCCCACTCTTGTGGAGCTGCTTGAGTCCAGAGGAGAAAGCCACCCTCTTTCTGGCTCAGAGACACACAATACTTGGCCAGCCAGAGGAAGCAGTACCTGAAGGACAAACAAACTGGACTCAGCTGTTGGCCTGAATTCCTGCTGTTAGAAGTGGGTAATTGGCCAAAGGGAGTTGTTGGCCAGATCATTTGGAGGGGCACAAATTGCCCATCCCTGCTCTGGAGCAAGCGTCCCATCAGTATCCAAGTCGCCATCTGCAAGGGATTGCCCCAGAGCTCCACAGGCCAGTCCCAGTGCTATGCCCCAGTCAGGGGCTTCTGTGGAATGGGTGAGCTTTGTGTGTAGGGAGATGAGGGGATCCTAGCAAAAGCGAGGTGGAGGGACTGGCTGAGAAGACTTTCCTCCTTGTCACATGAGTTTCCTTGCTCTTGCAGGCCTTGGATCCAACTATAATCACTCAAATGTTTTACGTTTTGTTCTGTCTTGCTGATTTGCAGACCGGAGGGGCAATGTAGCTACGCAGCACTGCCTTGCCCTTTAGGTTCATTGCTGAGGTGGGGAAGAAGGAGGGCTGAAAGAGCAGAGGGGTTACCAGGGATTGCCGTTTCAGCTGGAAGTCTGGAGAAAATTAATAGTCAGTTAAATACAAGATGTCTTGGAGGCTTATTTGCAATCACAGGCTCGGCATCTGCGTGACATGCCATTCGCCAGCACACCTGAGGCCTTTCACACATAGTTTGACAAATTAATTTCATTGCAGAGCCCACAAAACTCAGTTAATCGCTTCTCATCAGGCTGAATCTTTTTCTCCTCACTTGCTGGTGAGGTAATGGAGTGTTCTGCGTGGCACAACTCAAGTTCATACTTCGTAGTATGCAGACCTGGCTGGCCCATAGGCCTTCCTTTTTCCAAGGGTCTCGGTCTGATGTCCAAACTATGTGTAAGTGGCTCTCTGGAGGTGTGTGATTGTCATTTCAAAGCAGTATCTCTGTCCTCACTGGTTGGGTTCACAAGGCACACCTGTTTCCATGGCACGTGGATTGTTGCCCAATTGACAGCTCAGAGGACCACAAGGTTACTTGATAGGTAGTTTCAGAACACTAAGGCTACCATGCAGGACCTCCAGAATTGGGTCAATGAAACAGCAGACCACAAATGCAAGATTCCACCATGACTTCCAACATCCTATGAACCTGCCCACTCTCAAGGCAGGTGGGGAACCTCTTTCTGCTCACAGGACAGATTCAGAGAAGATTTCAGGAGCCTGTATTCCACTAGAGGACAGGACCGGTGAAAAAGAGATGGGCCCCAAACAATTTAACAGCTTTCACTACCAGTAACTAAACCTTCCAACTTTTTAGCATGGAGGGTGAAAAAAAGAACCTACAGAAGGTCTTGGAAGCCACCAAAGAAGCGTGAGAAAGGATCTGGCTTCAGGGAAGGTAGCCTGATTGTCTACAGAACTCTGGAAAGCCAGTCTGGGGCGCCAGGAAAGCTGGATTTTCCCCACAAGCTTGAGACTCCCTGCCAACTAGCAGTGTTCCCCCTTGCTAATCTAGAAGGGACAGTCGGAACAGTCGGCGCTGAGCTGCATGCAGAACCCATCTTGATGAGTTCACTGGGGCACTAACAGCCTGACCATCAAGATCAATGAAGAGCATGAGTTGGTGACAGCCCAGTGATGAGAGATGCACCCATCCCTGCTTGGAAGCAGCAGAGCAGATAGGAAATTTGAGGGCTTGGACCTGATGGTCTTAGGAAGGCTCCATTTAGGTGGCCATTTGCATCGTTTTATTGTGACACACAGGCAACTAACCTTTCTCTTCACTTCCTTCAACCCCCCCCCCCCGAAACCATGCCTTAAAAATGCTTCTACCTTTGCATTTTGTGCTTGCTGAAATCGTAGCCTTATCAAGACTGCAGAAATGAAATGATTTCGATGGGATGCCTCTGCATGAGCCACCTTTCTGTGTCACATGGGGGAGATGGGGTTGAACTATAGGGCCCGGTTCTTCACCCCAAAGCCCCATCCCTAGCTGCACAATTGCTCAGGGAACGTTTATTCCCCCATAGCCAGATTGCTGCAGGACTCACTTCCCAGCGGCGGTCTGGGTGAAATCTGATCAGAAATGCTGTGGAGCATAGGAGCTCCAGCTTCTCCCAATTTCCCAAACTAATGGGCTGAATTTCTCTCCCTGACCTGCCCGAAAGACAGTTTGCAGACTGTTTCTGGGGAATGCAAAAACCTGTTGCTAAGGTGATCTTTAGTCTTATAGGGCTGTGTCAATCACATCTTCTGGCTCAGGGAGTCAATGCCACAGTTGTAATATGGGGGGTTTGGCAGAAAGTGGGAATCCTTCAAAACATTGTAACAGGGAGGAAGAGGATCAGGTAAAAGCTCCCATGACACATCTCAAAGAAATAAATAGTGTGTTCAGCAAAAGACAATTTTGTGGTCAAAAGTGAAAGCTCATTATTCTATATTTGTAAATTGCATAATTCCCCATTAGAGAAACTCAGCATCAAATCTGATGTAAGTAACAGCACAGAAATATTAACAAACAGCTACAGAAACCCTTTTTTCCAAATGCCACATGAAATCCAATTTGCCTGGGAGGAAAGCATACAAATGATTAAAAACAAACAGCGGCACCATCTAGCAAAGAACAAGCTTTGCGACCTCACTTGGACGGCATTTGTTCCAAGTTAAGCAGCCCGTACAAAGACCTTTCAGCATGGGAAATTCTCGCTAATATTGAGAATCTGTTTGCATGCTAATGGGATCTAAGCAGCTCATGAGTGAAGTTCTGTATTGTTGGTACAAGTTAAACTTTTTAAATGCACAGATCTCTCTGTCCATCTTTACATGGCATGGATCTTTGCAAGATGCTGAAGAGGATAGCCAGCCAGCAAGGCCGTCACCATTATCATCACCCAGAAGTACTTCTATGGGGGCACAATCTAGATTAATCAGGAAAATTGGTTGCCCCTTTACTGAGGTTCACTGGTAGGACCACTTCCCATTGGAAGTATATATGGATAAGGAGTGAACCGTTGGTGTGGGCTTCATCATTCCCCTAGGAGAGATGCTCAGAGACTTCCCATGCTCTGAGTGGCAGCTCCTCATCTATGACAACTGGTTGACCGAGATCTAGAACGTCCATGCCATCGCTCTTGTTCAGCCAACACTAAGTGTCATAGACTGGCACTCAGACTCATTCATAAAACTGGATTAATGGTGCAATTCCATGGCCAGTAAGAAGAGTTTAGATGTTTGGAAGACCCAGCAATGAGGTCAATAAAATGCAGCTCATGCAGAAAGAACCACTCCAGCTGCATCTCCGATACTGCAAGAGTGATCTACAAGTTGGGGTTTATGAGGCAGGGAAAGAGCTGGCTGTCTCTTTCCCTTGGGCTCTGAGGTGCAGAGCCTGGGTGACTGGGATCTAAGTGCTTCACCAGGTGGAGAAGTGAGGAGGTGAACTTGACGTCCTTGTTCCTTGGATAGTGTGCTTGCAGTCCTCCAGGTTCAGAGAATTACCGGCATATCAGCTGAATGTTGTGAAGTTTGGAGGTGGTCCTGTTCTATGTCCCACCAGCACAGGAGATCATGTGATACTGAACCCCCCTCCTTCCCCTAGAACTATTTACATTGCTGGTGGGAGGGGGAGACATCTTCCTTTCCTCTTTGTTCTTTGATACCATCTAACAAATATCTTAGTTGTATTGTTGTCGTTACATGCCATCAAGTCATCTCCATTATCAGGTCATCTCCAACCCTATGAATCAACACCCTCCAAAATGGTCTGCCCATGACAACCCTGCTTAGTTCTAGTAAATTATTTTTATTGGGGAAGTGAAATATAGAATGTGCTCCACCAACTGTGGAATCCAGGTCCTTCTACATTTTCCAAGAAGTTGTCCTACCTGCTTCTTTGCCTCTTCAGCTTAACCTTGGCTTACCGAACTGAATTTCTGAAGATGTTATAACTGACTAATGCCGCAATTTGATGCTTCCTTCCCAAGTCTTAAATCTCTGTAATTATTGCTTACATACAGAGATCACTTTGTGACAGTTGCTGTATCACGTGCAAGCAAAAAGCTAGCAAGAAATCCAGATTAAGAGGAGATGATGATGATGGTGATCTGCTTGCTAATAACCACACATTATTGTCCATCACGTAGGTCTGTAAGAACTCCTGACATCTGAAGCTGGTCTATTGAGTTGCCATGGTGACAAGCAGAAGATCTATGGCCCCAAGCAGAAGATCAGTTTTGACTCTGATGCTTCCTTCCCTTCTAAGCCTTCTGTTGCTCCAGATTTGGCACTTTTGCAACCTCACGCCATCTATCCTTCCAGCTGCACGATTGTATTTGACAAAACCTCTGGCCTTGCTCCGGCTTACCAACGGATTCCTCGTTCGAGACTGACAGTTGATACCATCGCTCACCGAATGGTTAAAAAATAATCTGAGCACACCACACCATTGAAACCTGACGTTCCAGGAGCTGAACAGCAGAATGACTCCATTCTCCCCTCCCGTCTGTTGACTTGTTGCTATTCAACTGTTTTAAAAAAAATTGTCTGTGGGTTAGTATTTGTATATGTATGAGTGTATGTATATGTATATATATTTATATAGAGAGAAGAGATATACAATAGGGTTAGCTTTTGTATGGCATTCACCGTAGGCTTGTGGTCAATGAGGCGAAGCAGCCAAGAACCATCCTGAAGAGAGCTGAACACACACACGGGTTGCTGCACAGACAATGGTGTGACATAAAGGAAAGGACGCGGCTCACAATGTGAAGCGGGCCATTTCGGTGGTCTTTTTTAAGTCCTCTCTCACCCTCTTTCAAGTAATGTGCCATCTGTTCATTTGCCCTTCTGTTTCACATGCAAAAGAATTATTTTCCAGCAACCAGAAGAGAAGGAAAAGGCAACACCTAATTGTGTCTTGGGAACATTAAGAAAAGGAAATCCCCGTTAGTTATTCTGATTAATTGAGTTAGTTTGAATGCAGCCTTCACTTAAAGGACTGGCCATACCGAGATGTCACATGAGAACACTGTTGCTTTCCCACCTGAAACCAAATGGGGGGCTGCTTCCTTGCCTCTGTCCATTTCTTGGGGCTGCCCCATTTCCATCTAAAGTCAGTGGATCATGTGTTGCAGTATTCGAATGCAGAGAGAAAGCAGCTGGGAATACAACTGGGAGAAGTCTTGCCTAGCCTTTCCCTTGAGGTGCTAGCTTTCTGCATCTGGGTTTCTGGCTTGTGCAAAGGAGCATTCCATCATGTGAACCTGAAGGGTTACAGTCAGAGAAACCCTACCCCTCTAGTGCTGTGGGACCCCAACTCATGGAGAAATTGGAAATTGAATGCTCTCCTGTCAGATCAGTGGCCCATTGGGCACAGTCTTGCGGGCACTGACTGGCAGCCTCTCACCAAAGATTTCGGGCAAGAGTGTTCCTAGAACCCGCACACAAACAAGTGCGCTGTCAATCACCCACATCTGTTCCCCCTTAGCCTCAGCTTGCCCAGTAGTCAGAAAAGGAGGGATTGGCGACCAGCAACATCTGGAAGCCACAACTTCCACAGCCCACATCCTGTCAGCAATGACGTGACGGCCGACAGCTTGGAGGGCTTTAAACGGGGATCGGACAAATTCATGGAGAAGATTATCCATGGTTGCTGGTCCTCATGGCTCCATGCTGTCTCCAGTATCAAGAGCAACACAGCCGTGCGCACCAGGAACACGGGAGGAAGGATGCTGCTGTGTACTCTAAAGATATCTGGTGGGCAACTACCCAAGTCCAGTGCTGGACTAGATGGACCGATGGTCTGATCCTGCAGGGCTCTGCCTGGAGCGGTGACCGTGGTCAGCCTGCCCTGTTCCAAAAGTACTACTGGCCAGGATTTGAGGACCAAATGCAGCTTCAGCTGAAAGTCTAGACAAATCCCTAGAGGAGGAGGCTATGCATGGCCACTGCTTCTGGTGGCCACATGGGACTTCCAGTATCAGAGGCCGCATGCTGGTGGGGGAGGATGGATACCCTCTAAGCCCAGTGATTTTCAATTTCCAATGTGTCAGTTAGGTTGAGAGCGTCATCTTTTGTCTCCATTCCTCGGATATTAATTCAGGCACAGGTATCCAGCCTCCATCTTCTGCGGTGAAGAGTGATGAAAAGAATGAATGCACCTTCACCGCAACCTCCTTGTCTTCTTTCATCATGCCTCTAACTCTAGCACCATCCAGTGATGGGAAGTGATAGCCTATACTTAGTACTAAATTACTTTTGGAGTCTGATAGTTTCACCCACCGAATGCTGGACTCTCTGCTCTAGCATGGCTCCTCTTTTAAAAATTTACTGTGGAAAAGATCAAGAATTCCGTATTTCAGCACTTGGTTCCTATCAACTCTTTTTGAATAGGTAGATGCCATTCCTGCTTGTTTGTAAAAAGGTAGGTTTATTTTTCCTCCATTGATTGCCTTCCCTTTTCTTCCATTCTGATAATTAATAACCAGTTCTCTCTCAATGCCTGTGGAAGCTAGCTCTTGGTAAAGTCACATTTGAGCACACCTAGACAAAACAGAACAAAACAAAAAATCTATATACATATCTAATTTGTTTTGAATATAGTATATATGCATACATACACACAATTTTCCATGGCATCTAACAAGAGCTTTTTGTTTCTTTTTCCTTTTCGGTGTGTGCAGAATAACCACACTCATTTGCAACCTATAAAAGGCATTCATTATGTATGAATAAAAATCCTTTTTTAAAAAACAAATATTCGGTGAGCATGTAAGGTAATGGAAAAATTCTAACTGTATTCTCAAGACAAACCATCTTGTTAATAAACTGTAAATGATCCACAACGCTCACACCAATTTTTAAATATATAAATATATATATAGAGAGATCTCACAAGAACAAAATCAGCAAAAAATGTATCAAGGGTGCAAGCCTATGCATTTTTAGACAGAAGAAGTACTGTAATTTCTGGCATGATTCGGCTGCCATGATTGGCCAAAGGTATCCTGGGATTTGTAGGACTTTTTGTGTCTAAACATGCATAAGATTATACCTTAAGTGACAGACTGTGGCTTTTAATAGAACTTGAGAGTAACTTGGGGTAAGGTAAGTGTCTTAGACTCTTTTAATAAAGTTGCTTATTTAAAGTTTGAATTGCAGAGCTTTCTTATGCAATCAAATGTTGCAGCTGTATATTTTGGGTTGGATTAAAACAAAAACCATGCTGTATGTTTCAGTGTTTCCTTCTATGTTATACCTCTGTTCCAGCAGTAGCTTCTCCCCACCCCTTTTTAAATCATTAAAGAAATCCAACTGTACATTCAGTTTTTTCATACTCTTACAGCAGATGGCAAATGTATCTTGCCAGAAAATCTCTCTCTCTAGATTTCTTGTTTTACCAAACATGGTTGTTCATTCATTTTAAAAGCAGTAGCTGGTTATTTTGTTTTATATTTTAAATGCACAGTCTCCCCATCCAAGTATCCTCTACATAATTGAGTGTTATGAGGCATATCTGGCTCCCCATGCCAAGCGCGATGGTTGGCCCATTCACATCATCAGGGGAAACAGCTTGGGTACCTCATCCTCTTGGTTCAAGAAGCTGGTTTCACCGTGAAGATGACCAAATAGAAGGAGCTCCATAAAGATTCCAAACTCCACCAACAGCACATGTGAGACACATCACAGTCACTCAGTCAGTTGAAAGGTATCAGAATGTGCAATGGATCTTACATAGCACAATTGACTTTCTCTCTCCACCTCAAATAACTACTAATATGGTCCCATCCATGATGAATGTTTGAAGAATTCTTACTGTGGGACCTCCCTAGCTGGTGTAGAACCTCTCACATTTGTCCGTAATTCCTAAATGGTTTTGGACATCCAGTTTTCAAAAAGGAAGGGAATAATCAAGTTTAGTAATGAGAATACTAGCAATCATTCAATTTTGGGGGGAAAGGCTAGTTTAATGTATTCTTCCAGAATTCTGTGTGTGTTTAAATTAACCCACTGTATTCATATCCATGCAGAACTAGGACAGATCTTATCAAATGGTGCTAGCTGTAATTTGAAGGTAGACTGACGCAAATCCAATCTTTCTAAGAGTCTCGACAGAAATGAGCCCCATTAAGATCAATGGGGCTTACTTCCAGGTAAGTGAGTTTAATATAATTGCAGGCTAAAACAATGCATATAAGATGAGCATCCAGTTAAAAGACTATAGGATATCATTGGTCGGTAAACCCCATTGCCTTACTCTTAGTGCTAAATAATTTGATTTCAACATCAGCATGTGATCTGTTTTAGTATGTTGACCCATTACTTTTTAATTTGCATCCTATAACTTTTATTTCAGTGGTTGCTGACTTTGGACTCCCAGATCTGGGACTTATAATATAATGGATTACAGCTCCTATTATCCTCTACCAGCAAGATCATAGATGATGGGATCTTCTGTCCACCATCATCTGGGACCCAAGGTTGGGAACCATGCACTTTATTTGCTTGATTGGGTCAATAGAGGGCAAGATGTTTTGTGGTTTAAGCAGTAGCAATAAAATCCCAGTGCTCATTAAGGTTACCATTATTTTACTTCATCCAAATGGCAAGAACTTGGAAATATTTTGTTTTATCATGAAAGAGGAATCCATCCATTAATATATATTCACTGGATTAAATACAACATTGGTTAAATGTAAAGCGTATTGTACTGTTCTTAGAGCTTAGAAATATCCCCCGCTTCAAATTGAGTTGTTCTGATATTTAATTCACTAAAAGCATATGTGTGGGTGTGTGCAGATGTGTAATTTTCTGCTTTTAGAGAAAGACACAGGATTTAATCATTTTCCATTTTAAGTATACACAAAAACAGCTCCAGTAAGGAATTATTTCATTCCAAAAACAGAATTTTCCATTAAGAACATGCATTCAATATAGCAGTTATTAAGATAATCAAGGATTGATACTGATTCATAGAATTACTATGCAATTTTATGTAGTAGTCATAAATGGAGGCATTGCCAGGATGCCTTGAGAGACTGTTTGTACTTTGCTCACGTTTGTGGATTAATATAAATTTTGACCACTATTTGCAAAGCCTAAAAATCAAAGCAAAACAGTGCAGTAGCACTTCTTGGCAGTTGCCAAACTGTGAAAGTGTTCATAGATTTTCTCCAAGTCTCACCTTGAAGTTCAGTCTACTTCATTTTCCATTCCAATTGGACAGTAAAAGTGCAAATTCCAGTGTTCTTGTTTCTCAACTGCACATCACCACTGAAATAAGCTTGAAATTCCTCCTTCACTTTCTTCTTTCAAAATATGCATATTAAAGTGTTGATTTTTCTAAACTATACACTTCGCAACAAGCTCCGGAATTCGGTGAGCTTTGCCTACAGAATGTGTTCATGTTTTGTTAGCGCATTTAATTGAACAAAACAATATTCTCATACATCCCTAGCACTAAACAATATTTTTGACTGGAGAAACCATACCTGTTAGAAAAGCGAGTTAGACAAGTTGCCATTTCAGGGATGCATTAATAAGGAGCACGTGCTACTTTTCTTCTAGATTGGTGAGTGAAAGAAAATCTTGCTTATTATTGTATGTTGATGGTATTCTTTCTTGGATTATATAATCTAATTTTTACCTAGTCCATTTATAGAAAACTGTACTGTTATACAGCTGGTTGAATCTGCCAGATGCTTTCTCCCACATTTGAATGGTTAAAATCTCAATTTTCACAAATATGAAGAACTTTGCAAGTTTGTGTAAATCCTTATCCAAAGTCAACTGAAACAAGTAACTCACCAGCCAGATTCAACAGGTACTGCGGCTATTCTTATTATAGAAAGGACCATTATGTACTTGCCTGTCATAAAACTGTTAAAGAGATCAGAAGAAAGTGGTGGCAACTCCAATTAATCATTAATACAGAGGAATTCAGACCCAGAGCTAAACATGCAAATCTCAGGTCAGTTTCTCACACTTTTTTGCAAAGTTCATTTTGTTCTGAAGCTGGTAAGGTTTTCATTTTAGCCCAAAAGCAAAATTGAGCTGAAATTGTCACTTATTCCTCCACAAAATTAATTCAATTTTGTATGCATAATATTTGGGGGAAAATGGGGAAGGGGAAGTGTCTAAAAATCCTTTGTCCCTCTTTGCACAGGCCAAGAGAGCTGAAGAAATAACAAATAATTTTTGTAAAATGTGCTTATTTGATATTTTAAATAATTTTTTAAAAAATGTTTATTTGATCTGTGCGAATCATGTAGTCCAAAGCAGAATCTAGAAGAAATTGGGAAAAACTTCTTCTCAAATTGCAATATAGACAATAAGATGAAAGGATGAATCCAACAAAGATATTTACCTAGAAAATACTAGGTATTTACACTGCACCCAGGGCTACATATAAAATAAAATAATGAAATAAATACAAAGATTCAAACCCCATTCTTCTTGAAGACCCAATTTACACAAAATCCACTTGCGCAAGTGGCACTGCAAATATGCAAACCTCAGGCCTCAGTGGGCGTCGCTATTTTGTGCCCATTTCTGGAAAGTGAAAACACTGTCATGATATGACCTGCAAATCAGATATACTGTGGAAGGCAAATAGGCTGAGAAGAAATGGATTTCCCAGTGTTGTACACTTGGCCTGAAACCCTGTTCAATGTGTACGCAAAATATATCATACGGAAAGCTGGATTGCAATCCAACAAAGGACTGAACACTGGCAAAAGAAACATCACTAATGTAAGGTATACAGACGATACCCTGTTGCTGGCCGAAAACAGCAATGGCTTGAAACAACAACTGAGAAAAGAGAAAGACAAAAGTACAAAGGCAGAACTGTGGCTGAATATTAAAAAAAAATCCTACCCACTGAAGAATTACAGAACTTTACTATCGATAATAAAGCGAAATTGTGAAAGATTTCACATACCTTGGCTAAGTGATTGATTCACAGGCAGACTGAAGCCAAGACATCCAAAGAAGAAGGAGACTTGGAAGAGCAGCTGTGAAGGAACTAGAAGGAATCCTCTTCCTCGTAAGGATGGCTTGTGGGAGACCAAGGTCAAGATCATCCCGTCTATTTTATTCCCAATTGCATTGTATGGGTGTGAAAGCTGGACAGCAAAGAAACCAGGAAGGAAACTCGTGTGTTTAAAAGCTTTGTGTATACCCTGGACCAACAAAAAGAAGAACAAGTTGGTCCTGCATCGGAGCAAAACTGAGGATCCCTGGAGGTGACAACTTTCATGGTAGGGAAAGCTGAAGGCAGAGGTCAAAAGGGAAGAGCAAAGATGAAATGGATTGGATCCATAAAGGCAGCCATTGCCTTGAACTTGGGACAGCGGAATGGAGCTGCCAGGAGAGGACACTTTGGGGCGCTTCCATGTTTGGAGAAGACTTCACAGCACAGAGCCACCACAACCTGAAACCCTGGAGAAATGCTGCCGGTGGAGTAAGAAATACTGAACTAGATGGATCCTAGGAATTGGTGGAGCTCGGAGGTCGAACACAGCCTTTTATACTGAAGGCATTGGGTTCATGCTGCCTCATCTCAGATCGACTGGAAAAGAATATCAGCACAAACACTCACTAGCCCTTTTCAGTCAGAATAAATCCACTGCGCTAGGTAGACAGATGCACTGAATCAGCAGAGACCTCTTTTTTCTCCTGTTTTTAACCTTCTGCACATCTGTGCATTTGGAAAACTGGATTTCAAGGTGTTAACAGGCAGAGTAAAGCTTAATGCATCCTCTCCCAAAATCCCATGGCCTGATCCAAATCACAAACCTCT